AAGGTAGCTCAACCGCCTCGTGCTGCAAAAAAAGCGGGGAGGTTTCCTGCTGGCCAATGGACGCCAAATGGCGCCTGCGATACCAAAGTACTGTGTGCAGGTGGGCCTTCTGGTCCAGGGCCAGTTGCAGGGCGCGCTCCCAGTTAAAGAGCTTGATGTGAAGCTTGATGGCGCGGTAGATGAGACCGGCCTGCACAAATGGAGCGGAGTGAGAGCGCAGCAAAAGCTGTTTCGGGGAAATCCTTATGGAAGTATTTGTAAATGGGTTGGTGCTTTATGATGCACCGTCGAGAAATTTTTTGCTGCAATGATGCGTGCGGTTGATGGAAACGAATTCGGGCGAATATGACCGCGTTGTGAGTTTACTTGTCGAATGGGCATGGGCATGGGCATGGGAATGGGCATGGGCATGGGCATGGGCATGGGCATGGGCATGGGCATGGGCATGGGCATGGGCATGGGCGTCCTTTAGGATGTGCGCGAAGTTGCAGAGCCTTCGCATTTTGCGCCTTCGGTGTATCTTTCTCGCGTCGGAAAAAAACAAGGGCCAGGTCATCAAGCCCATGTCCACAACCAATCTAGCTGCTTGAGTGCAAATCCTACCGCCGTGCTTCATCAGCTTCATTGGAGCTGAGCAGTTGGCGTTTGGTGTTTTTTGAAAATGTTGCAACAAAAATAGAGTGTGCATGAAAATTGGAGCCTGAATGGAGTGGCGATTAAGTTGTACAAGAAACTGTGACTCCGCATCGCCATTTAGAGTCCAATTGTCCAAAACCTTATGCTGTATCCGTGCCAGTGACTCATACCATTGACGCAGCGGAGATTTTCATTCCCACGTCATGTCCAATCATCTTTATTTCGTATTTGAATTGCGAACTAATGTTTTGAAATTCCTGCTGTGATAGTGGCGCCAGCGGACGCCACATAGAAATTCCGAAATCCAACGGCAAAGACGAAACGTCCATTGCTCAGTGACGCCGTTGTTGACGTGACCGCCTCACTACGTTCTGCAGGACTTTGGTACGACCCTCAGTACTTTGCAGCGCTTATGCTTACCAGGCTCTCTCAAGTGGCATGTCAGCCGCCTCTGCTGTTGAGCAACTTTTCAGTAAATATGTGGCACAGGGCAAGATTGTAGAGCGCTGAACCATGAATACTGTTCAAATATACTCTAAAGCAAAAATTTGAACCAAAAAACGCTGTGCATATACAAACAATGCTTAAAAACCAAACAAACACAACCCATAAGAAATGCCGCGAAGTGTGTCACAGTGCATTTTCCTGAACTGCGTGTGTTTTTCACTTGCACTGAATTTTGCGTCTGGATTTCCACCTGCAGCAGTATGGCCTCCGCCTCCAGCGGCCGCCGCTTGTACAGTGCCAGCTCCGCGCTGCGCCCCTCCTCCGTGGGTATGTCTTTGACGTGCAGCACGAACTGCAGCCTGTCCACCTCGCCGATTGCAGCGAAGGCGACCTCCGCGGTGTTAAGCTCGGCTGCCTCCATGGCCATGAGCGCCAGGCAGGCCCACATGCCGGGGTCCTGGCAAGGTTGGAATAAGGAGGATAAGATTGGTCACACTTCAAAAGCTAAACATCTCATGCAAATGCCGCCCCGCTCCTCAGCAAGTGTGCGCGATACTCGGTTGTGTAATGATAATGATGATGGTGGTGATGTGTGGACGCGCGTGGTGTGGGGTGGGCGTGGTAGGCGGTGGGGGAAATTTGGTGACCGTGGTCACATTTCGGGGAATTGGGCGACTCGGGAACGGAAAAAGCAGACTTGGTATTCGCGTTTATGTTTTCACATACAAAAACGTGAATTTGAGAAAGGGTCTATTTTTGCGGCTTTTTGGTTCACCCGGATTACACAATGCACTTCGCGTACAATGACCAGTCTTCCGCATCTCCAGCAACTGCAACACAATGTCCATATCTCCCTCGGAAAGGGAAACGATGTCAAAAATATATCGTTCTCTACACACTCCAGCGATTCTGGATGGCACTCTTCAGTCTCCATACTGTGCTTAGGCTTCAAGCTGACTCCCGTGCAAAATGAAAGTGAGAAGCAGCGGAAACTAGATCACGCGCACAAAAAATGTCCTTGAAAATGTGAATATAAAATATAAAATATGCATTTTCAGCATAAGGCACCTAATCAAGGCCATAAAGAGGTTTCATTTGTTAACAAAATGAGCAAATGAAGCACAAAGGAGGTTGGTAGAAAATGCCAAAAGCGAGAAATAGTGTGTGAAGCAATTTGTCGCAAAAGTGGGAAAACCCAAGTGAGGGGAGTAAGCTGTGCACAGCAATGACAGAAGAGTTTTATATGCGCAACACCTGCAAGTATAGGAAAAGAAACAGAAAAAAAACAAATAAGAAGTCGAAAGCAAGAGAAACAATACAGCAATGACAAAAAGTGTTTGTACCAGGGCAACACACAATGAGCAGACGCTTGTACGCTGCCGGTGCACAAATGAGCAGGGGCTTGTGTATACACTTTCGGCATGAGTTGTGCTCCTGCGTTGGTTTCTTCCATTTTGTGGACAGACTTGTTTACTGCTTTACCACAAACTTTGAGTTCGGCGTTCAAAGGGACTCTGTTTACTGCTGCGAAACATGAGCTTAGCACTCAAATGACCACAGTCACACAACGTGCATCCCACACACAAAGGGAAACCCTGAAATCCCCTTGAAACTAGAATCTGGTGAACAACCTCGTCGGAAAGGCCTTGTTGTCATTTTTCACGGGATTTAGATTTCAGCGCTTAGCGGGTCATCGCCAGCCCGATCATCACCCGACGGTGCCTGAAGTGGTGCCCGGCACGAGGTCCGGGGTCGCCACGGCTGGGTGGCGTCTGGCTGCCACCGGTAGAAAACTGCATGTCTGGGATGCCAACTGCGATGCTAATTTGACGCAAATTGATGCCGTCACAGTGATTGCGATGGCATAAAAGTGGCTGTGATGGCATCAATTTGTGTCAAATGGCGTCGCACTTGGCATCGCAAACATGCTGTTTCTTACTGGTGTGCGGGCATCAAGCTGCTGCCACCCATGGCCAGCTCTGTGCACACAGTCTGCGCCTTTGTGATTAACAGGCTTCCGGTACTGGAGCGCCTCTTGCTTTCTCTTGTCTCTTCTTGCGCACCGCATGATGGCGTGAAAACTCCTGCCTGAACTCCTGGGGCACTTCGGCAGTGCATGTTGCCGCGCCAGAGCCGGCGGTGTCAGTGGGATGGCAGCATCCTCGATACCCACCGCCGCTCACGACTTGCTGGCAGTATGAGCAGGTGGATTGCAAGCATTTCAAGTCCCTAAAGTCCTTGGAGGACTGCCCATTCACTACTTTGCGCCCCATGGCCAGCGCAAAGAATAGTCGTTTACGGGTTGACAACGCAACACAGGCACAACGTGCACGGGCTGTGTTTATGTTATATTTGCTTATTTGCTCTGCATTTTATGCTCCAAATTGTAAAGGGAACTTTTCCGCGTAAAATGTATATAAGATTTGTGTCTGCGGCGTAAATGCCAAGCCTGAGAGAAAGTGAGGAGAGAAATACCGCCAGATCAATGGTGACGTTATGTAGTGATATGCAATATTTCTGCAGTGCATTTGCGCAAGCGAGCCACTCACTTTCACGAATCGACACAGGCGCGTTGCTCGGTCCCAGTGGCCCTTCCCGACGTGTTGGTACAGTACCAGGGGGTACGGAGAGACGCCAGCGCAGACCTCCGTGCCATCGTGCCTCTGAATGCAGCAATGCGACAGCCGGAAGGATTCGATCATGGCGGCTTTCCCGTAGCCGCTGTCGGAGCATATCGGCAACGTCATCGTCGCCATCAGGGCATTTTTCATTAGGGAAGCGTTGCACACCGTGGCGGGAAATTCGTCATGTATTCGAAAGCGACTTTGCAAACGACGCAAATTTAAGTGCCCGGAATGCATTCCATTACATTCGCCATTTGCGTCGACACATTTTTGGCGTGTTGTATTCTTGATTTGCGACAAGTGCTCAAATGTACGGATGGTGTTGCTAGAACTCTCATTGGGTAAAACGGTGTAATGTTCAATACTTTGCAGCATTTGCGCAATTTTTTTAAAAGTTAGGATCAAATGGACCAATAAAAGTAAAATCAAAAAATTGCCTTTGATTCAATTTTATACAATGTTGGCACCGCTTTTCACCTGTCGCTCTTGACGAATTTCGTCATCGGTAGTACGTCCTTGTCTACAAAGATGCCGTTAGGGTAGTACCAGACGGTCTGCGCAGCGTTGCGACACAATCATTTAAAATTCTTAATAAAATGCCAGTCATGTATCTACTCAGTATTTATCGATTTACAACGAACAGCTGGCCAGTCAATTGGTGAAGCTTTCCACCAATTATCGAGCAAAACAGTCAGAATTGAGACAAACAAACAACCATAAATGGTCGAAATATGTATACTTCGACATGAATTACACAAGAATGTGAAGTGCTTGATTGTTAAACATAATGACAAATGATAGCGTGATCACAACTTGCAAAGCCGTCGTACCCCACTGAATGAAAGACTTGGACGACTGGGCACATGTCGCAGATTGATTTCGCATGCAACAATTATGTCGCAATTTTGCACATTTTATTTACTTTGAAATTCAAAGTTTGAAATATGTCATATTCGCATGTATATTCAAAGTTTTAATACGTCATTTAACTTCAAATGGTAACTATCGATCATGGAGATAAGCGCATGGAGCAGCTGAGCACAGAAAGAGCAGAAGAGGGGAGTGAATCAAAGAAGGAAAACAGCAACGAGCATGGCGGATCACTCCCTTCGCTATGTTTCATTCGCTGAATCAGCGAAGTAACACTTGAAGGTAAGTGTGGCGCAAAATCTACTGCTGTAAATTGGTGATTCTTGCACAACTTCTTGGAGACAGACTTCCCGGAACATAATTACCGGAATATAAACATATTCCGGTTACATCACCTAAAGTTTTAGGCCGGCGTCGACCCACCAGCTTCTCGCTGACGACCGCCGCCAGCATGTTGGCCCCTTCGTGCCACATGGCGGAGTCCACGATGCTGCAGAGCTTAACTACACAGCGCCTGAGCACTGGCGTTATGTACAGGGCGCGGTTTGCGTCGATGAATATCAGCTGGCGCTCTGTGGCGGGACCCGCCTGGTTCAAGGCGACGTCGTTGATGTCGATCATGTGGGTCAGGGGAGCGCCCAAAGGCTTGCCGTGTATGGCGTCGAGCAAATGGATGCCTGGAACAGGAATAACTTTGTTCAAATTAAAATGGCATGAAAACAAAATTATGAACTAAAAGAATTTTCGATACAATTTTAGTTGACATCAAATAGAAATGTTTGGAAAGGATACCGTTAGATGCTTGGTGCTTGCATTCCAATTTCATGCGTTGTTAGGAACACGGCGGGGAGCGACTACCTCTACCTTTTATGAGCGCTTATGTCATCCAATCTCCAGCAAAAGCATTAATGAACGGGCGATTATACTTTGAATTAATAAAATGTTGTCTCGAGCTTGTTTCTGTAGCGCAAAAAATGCAGTACCAACATACTACCTCCGTTTATTGAGTCTTGTCTGTTATCCAATTTTGCCATGACTTTGCAAAATCATCTTAATTAGTAAACCTGTCACCAGATTCGGACTCCTTGGTCGATTTGGGGGTAATGGGGATTTTTTCACATTAAGCATCATCATACAGCAAGACTTGCGCAGCCTTATCGAAAGCGTCCCTGTACATCTCCATTACGGCCTCGATTCCCGTAGGTTTGTGCTCACCTTATTCCCATGTATGTCAGCCTTTTTCCCTAAATTATTCAAGAATTTGGTTGCAGGCAATAAATAGGCAATGCTGCAAACTTTCCAGAATTTTTCATCATCACAGTCACACTCTCTGTGGACCATCTCTTCCGCTATGTTGACTCATGCCTTGAAATTGCCAATTTCAACGATTCGCCATCTTGTCACTAACCCAGGCCATTGTTGGACCAGCATCAGTATGATTGGCCTGCCTGACCTTTTTGCACCGGTTAGTCAATGATATCGCACTAATCTAGTTGCCTTTATGCCTTCAGCCATAACACACGCACAATTCCCGTTGGCATCCAAAATTCTGCGGCAAGCCCGCATCTTTTGCTCTGTGGATTCAGTTTTGAATTTAGCCGAATCTTGATTGTATACCAAACCACCAGACCATTTATATTTCCTAGAGAATCAGCTCGATCCACTTCCTTCAGAGGGCAAGATTAGATATTCGTACCCAGCCCTAGGTCCTGACGAAGGCAAAGTAGCGCTTGTGCTTCTGTTAGCATATCTGAGATATGATATCTCAAGAACGGCGTCCCTGTTTTCCACGGCTAACACCTCTACAGATAGCCATCAACATGGCGCATTGAAGTTAATTTGGTAGAATTTTTTCACTCGCGTGTTTTGCTCCCCACTTGCGTGAATTGCATAAGGGATAGCACTCTTTGCAATATAGGTAGCAGTAAGGCAACATCAAGTACAAGTATTAATATGTCAAATTGGTAAAGCAGTAAAGTAGAGTACCAACGTCTTAGTAATATTCCAATTCCTTGACTTCAATTCCCACACAAAGGCAAAATACAGCTCTTTGCTCCCAATGGGCAATGGCGTACAAGTATTAATATGTCAAATCGGTAAAGCAGTATAATAGAGTACCAACATCCAACAGCCTTTCGTGCAAAATGTCGGTAAGGTCCGAAAGGTTGCACTTGTGCGCAACATCGCAATTATGTGTTTTTTGGGGCAAAACGGTTGTGCTCAAGATTGGCCGTCAGAAAACAAGGAAATTTGTGTGCAACATCGCCATTTCTGAGTGCACAAAAAGAGAAGAGGATGCATGTTCTGTTGTTTTCCGTAACCCCCTTACCGACATTTTGCACGAAAGTTAGTTATCCTAGCAATAGTCCAATTCCTTAACTGCAATTCCCACACAGAGGCAAAATACAGCCCTTTGTTCCTAATGGGCAATGGCGAACATTCATGCCACAACAATACCATACCAGTTAATGGTAGCGCAAGTTGTGTTGCTACCACTTTGGCGTCGTTGAAACAACAACAATTACTGCAAACATGAAGATCTCTGTAGGAGGTGTCGTGCAAGGTGGTGTATAGCCTTTGCAGCTACTACTAGGAAAAAACAAATCAGATGACGCAATCCTGACATGGTCTGCTCAAAATCCAATTATGTGTTTTCGGCAAATATGGTCCCAAAACCACATTGTTAGTGCATACGTTTCAACCACGTACCTTCAAACAACTCTGTAGAATAAATGTTTTCCCAGTGTACAAGGTTAAAATTGTGTCAATATGTATAGTAATTGTGTGGTTTTGGGACCGCATTTGCTCAAAGCACACAATTGGATTTGGAGCAGACTGTGTCAGGACTGTGTCATATGGCCTGCTTTTTACTAGTGAATTGACTCAAATCCAATAACATATACCTAATTACGTTCAATTTTCTGCCATACGCAAATTTGATACTTCTTTAATAATTCACCACTCAAAAACTCAAGTACAAAGTAATAATTCTGGTAATCGCGCTGAAAATTACTTCCATTCAAAATGTCCCATTGCAAGTGGAGGAAAATCAGTGCACATATGTACCTTGGGACTTGGACATCCTAGCAATATTGTCCGAATAGTGCTTTAATAGTTCTACAATATGGTGACCCAGGGTTGCATCGCCACCCAAGGGGGTAGTAGAGAGGATTGCAAGCACCTTGAGGGATTGTGCAGTTCCGCGATGGAGGAACCGCAATGTGCAAGTGTTTTTGGTCGCCCCCGGTCCTGGCCGCCACCCGTAAGGGCAGGGTAGCGTGGCCATACAGAAATATTGATCCCATGTGAGATTCAGTATGAATACTCGAAAAAGGATTGTACGACATTTTCTATTAAATTTCATGGTGAATATAATGTGTTGGGGACTTCAGATCCCAAATCTTCCAGGTCAGCGGCGGCAATATGATGGCATTAATATTCAGCGGAACTTCAAGTGGAAAAATGCAATGAGAATCAACGTGTACTGTGTACATTATGGATCATGTAGATTGACTGGATATTAAGTGGAAGATTTGGTTGGATTTGTGCGGTCCATATGGGCAGTACGGTGATGGGACTTTAAGTGCTGGAAAGTTCTGATGTGAATAACAAGAGGCAGCACAAGAGGGACAGTGCAGAATGCTCTGCGGCATATTCCGTAGTGCGTGGGGATGAGAACGAACATGAACTAATATATAATACGGTAAGCTAACAATGTAGGCCGCTTTCATATAGCACGCTTTAGTTACAGCCGTTGCAGCCCGGCAGGCCTCCTCACCGGCCGACGAGAGGACGTGCGAGGCCAAGTGAGCACCCCTTTCAAGGGAAGGACTCAAGCCATGTGAGAGACATAGATAAGATGACCGGCCGTTTCTGTCGCTCGGAATCGACCCCCCTTGACTGAATTCAAGTTGATCTTTCACTACTGCCTTCCGAAGAGGTCTGGCCATGGCGAGGCCACGATCTTTGCAACTGCCTTAAATAAATGTATAACAAAATGGACATAAAAATATTTTAAATGTGCATTAGTGCAAATTTAATGAAATAATTGCGTGATCAAGTAAAGGGTTTTGCTTGCATGCGTTGCGAATTCCAGTAGTTGACTCACATTTGCCGCCGGCCCTGTCCAGAACGGCGAGCGTGTCGTTTGAGAGGCTTATCATCTGCCGGTTCAGAAACTCCGTGGCCACTCCTGTGCAAGCAACACATCACACTCTCTTCATTCGCTACATCAGATGTATCGAAGAAATTAATCTGTTTTCTCGCAGAAAAAATACCCCTTTCTTCTGAACACAAAAGATTCTTCGCTTAGTTGTTTCGATAGTGATGTTCATAGATACAGCAACTCTGAGTAAATGAAGATGGGTAGAAACATTGCCGCCATCAAAGTAGAATTTTGATTAACTTGACAAGCAGATATAACAGCCTAATAGCCCCCATCAGCGCAATGTTCATGTTGCTTATACTTACAATGTGAATGCACATACTGCATCTTTATACATAAATGTGCAAGGCCATACTCACAAGTACCAATCACGCACACATACGGCAAATGTGGATTTGCTTTTGTATAAAATAAAAGTATTGATTACAATACCATCCTCTTACAAGATAACCATAAATATGCTTAAACTCCAGGGGTCGGAACCACAAGTATACCTAAACTCCAAGGTTCGGAAAGTTCGGCATCTCAAACTGCTAAAAATACATTGCACCTAAATGAATTTCTAGTAAGCGCATGTAGTATATAGTTTATATGCACATGTTGCATAATATTGAAATCGCATTATATTCATGAATGCATATGTAAAATTATGCATCAAAATAAGAACACATTTGTGCAACAATGTTTGAAGTATTTTCATATGTTTAGCGCATTGAAGTATTTTCAATACCTTGAATTTTTGGCACGCACATTTGCCGCCCCTCGTAAGTGTAGATCTGGATTCCCACGAGATTGCCGACAATGAGGAAGCTGCTCTCGCACTGCAGTATGAGCTTCACCGTGGCCTTAAGATCCAAGATGTGGGGCGCCCCGAAGTTCGTCAGTGGATATATGTAACACTGAGATATGGTGCACACGACAAGATGGCCAAAACCTGGTGCAAAATAGGATTTTTGTTTTGGGTCAGCTGGTATAAAGCTAATTGTATTAAATACGTGTTTGTTATGCTATTCTGAAACAGTGATTTGTAAAAATATTCAAATAGTTGGGAACGTCATATTGCATGAATGTCCGTGAGCATTGCATATTCATAGGTATTTATATTATGTATATTGTATGTCATGAAGCATTTCACAAATATCCTATTGTGCGTGCGTGCTATGATTCATGGAAATTTATGGTTCTTTTTCTGCGCAAGTATGATATTCATTGGGCATTGACGATTCTATGACTAAACACAGCATACAGCTGCAGCAGCTCACCAGCTTCAATTACGACAGCTTTTCACCTCAAAAGATTTTAGGAATATTTGATTTGTTAGGGAAAATTGGCCATAAAGTGTACTATAAAGTAGTGGGCCGTATGGCGCATTTTCCCAGAAATGTTTTATCATCGCCTTATGGTTAGCGGCTTTGGATCTGTCCCCACGCTGCCCGCAAGCGCGCCCAAGCTCCCGACAACCCTAAGCTGCCGCTAATCTGTCGGCTACAGCCTCCTTTCACCAACGGTGGTACAAGGCTCGAAAAACAAAGCCAGGTTATACGGCTGAGTAACTGCCAGTGATCAACAATACCTTGCTATGCCAGATATTCCCGAAAGGATCCTAAAAATATGCAGAACTTGGTCGCGCCATTCTTTCGAATTTATGCCTCTATTTAGGGGTCATACCGCCATTTCAGGATGCACCACTAGTCCAAATTACACCAATATTTTAGGTTTTCGCCACTATATCGAGGTTACATCACCGCTTCATGGTATGCATCTAATTCAATATCAGTACTTGAAGATTGCATTACCATTTCAAGGTGTATCCACTACTTCACCTTGATGCCACTACTTCAGGACATAACTTTAGCTTTCTTTTCAAAACCACACCACTATTTCAATGTTGTGCTACTAATTCAAGTCTGTACCACTACTTCAAATTTAGTACACCATTTTCAAATTGGACCACTAGCATGAAGTGGGACTATAATTTTCAGCTTGGACCACTATTTCAAGGATGCCTGCGGTCCGGATCTACGCCAAGATGTGTTCCAGCCTCGGGACGCGTTGATGGCGCGATCCACTCGTACAAAGCTCAGTACTTCACCAGGGTGCTAGCACTTAGTGTGGGGACGCTAGTACTCAGGGATGCCACGACGCTTTGATGGCGCAATCCACCACTAGTATGAGGCTCAGTACTTCGTAAAGGCGCTGGTACTTAGTTCGAGGGTGTAAGTACTTATGTACGCAATGACGCATTGGTGACGCGTTCCGCCACAAGCATGCTTGTGCAACAAAGCTCAGTACATCGCCAGGGTGTTAGTACTAAGTTCAAGGGTGTCAATACTTAAGGTCGCAAAGACGCTTTGATGACGCATATGCAATCCACCACCAGTACAACGGTAGGTGCTTCGCAAGGGCGTTAGGACTCAGCACCTCGGCGTTAGTACTCAGTGACCCAATGACATATTGGCGACGTCATCTATCACTATTACATTACTCAGCGCTCTGCTAGGGAGTCAATACTTAGCAGCGCTAAGTTGAACACGAGGGTGTCAGTACTTAGGGACCTAGTGACGGCTTGATAACGCCATCTAGCACCAGTAGATGTCTCAGCACTTTGTAGGGGAGTTAATAAATACTGCTAACACGTAGTACTGCTTCTACTAGTATTTAGTAGCACTAAGTCAGCACGAGGGTGTTAGTACTTAGGGACCTAGTGACGCCTTGATGACACGATCCCGAAAATCCAGGTGGTCCACCGTCTCGCTCGCCACGTCCACAACTCGCACCAGCCGCTCGCCTTCCACCGTCGCACTGACGCCGCCGGTCAACAAGTCAACACTGACCAGTTGACCGAAAGCGACCATGCCACCGCCGCCGGCGCCCGCCACCTGCGTGCCGTCGGGGCTCCAGGCCAGGGACAGCAGGGATCCGGTGGCCGTTTTGGCCTAAGATTTCAGAAAGGTCCTAATTAGGGCATTTTCAGGATCAAGTTTGTTATTTACGGCGTAAAAAGTATCCGTGGATATGTGTTGTGGGCGTCTTTATGAAAGTGGTAAATGCGTGCTGTGTTTGCGCTCTAAGTAATGGGCTGTCAGGATTGGGATCGACGGAGAAAAGGTAGTGGAGAACTAACAGTGCAAGCCAGCAGCAGAATTATGAGGGATCTAGCGAGAGGGATGCACGCATAGCATAGATGTTTTCGATACGAATCTGTTTGATGTTTTGTTTTTTAATCTACAACAGGTATTTTAATTGAGAATGGTTGCCAGCAGAATCCCAAACGCATTTCCTGCTTAGCGGACACTCTAAACTTTTGGATCGATCCATGGATACTTCCATATGGGCACCTCTGGAAACTAGAAGGATATCTGTTTTGCCACCGCATAAGCCGTGCGTTCTCCGCCATCAAAAACACGGCCGTCTTTGCAGCGACGTTGAAAGTTACTTAGAAGCATAAATTTCCATGTCATTAATTTTCTGATTAATAATTCTCTGATTTAGGCTCTTCATAAGGGCCCTGCAGCATAGCACTGCCAAATCCACTGTTACAAATGCATTACCTGATGTTTTCGATTGTGCATTGAAGCTCATGGTAGCAAGTATTGATAAAAATTTTGGCGATGGCCAAAATTTCCACGATGAAGAAGCAGTGCACCAGAGTCACAGGAGTTGGGATTAAGTTTGGGAAGGAAGAAGCCAGCAATTGCCGCACCTGGCATGTATGCAAGCAACCGCGACATGCTTAACAAGCTTGCTAATGCATGAAACTCCATTTAGGCTCCGAAATGTCCCAATTGACAGCTCCAGGCTAGACCCACTGCCTTTCATTGCTTTGGATATCCCAATTTCAACGAACATGGACTCAATTTGCATGTTAAATGCGTTGTGCCTAATGCGTGTAATGCGTACTACGTATCTTATACCTTAGAGTGCGCCCATCCCATGCGGTTGCACAGCCACAAGCGATTGAAGCTTCCCACCGCGAAGAGCTCTCCGGTCGGGCACCAGGACACGGCGGTGACCGGGTGGTCCAGCGGATGGCACTGGTACAGAAGGCGGCCAAAGCTGTCCCAAACCTGGGAAAGACAAGTCGACCTAAATCTGATTGCCCCATTTAGATTGATTGACTATTTATTTGGTTATTTAAGCTGATCATTGCTTATCTCACAAATTGATTACTTCCTCTGTCCCATACAAGGCCGGACACGCGTGCGCCGCGCACACGGCGTCCTATGATTAACCCGGCGCACTTGTTCTTCAGTCCCATATTAGATTTCAGTTATGGTCTGCGGCCCTGAAAAGCCCACTGAAACATATCAAAATTCCACCAAAATATGCCATAATGTTTAAATATGAGTTTGTGATACAAAATTTTTTGTGTTAATCGGCGTAGTAGTCATTTCGAAGCACCATTTTGAACAGACGCCACTTTCCCAAAACTACAGCAGGTTTTCAAGATGGTGCCGAAAGCGCACGTTCTTGGTCCCTGGTCCATGCCACATTGCGGTGGCTCACACTGCGCGAAGCGACGTGAGTTGGAGACGCGCTTCCAACTTGACGTCCGACCATAGATACCGAGGCGGGAGGCAAGCCGCCAGCACCTCCTGCAACGCGTGATAGAAGATCTCGCCCGTATGTTCGAGACTTTGTGCCTAGGAATTGTGACCGTCCATAAGCAGTCCCAGAATGCAATCGACGATCCCAGGGGGAATGGGCTGGTCCCGCCAATGGGAAGGAAATTCGAACATGCCAGGACGCGGCAGGAGCAGTTTGCAGCGAGGATAGGAAAGATCGCACCGCACAACCGGCACACGATTCAGGGAATTCTGATGCAGGCAAGAGACGGGCGAGGTCCTCGTTCGCGCCTTCCAGGACGAGGTGGTGGCGCATCCTGTTAAAGGCAGCCTACAGAGCTCCTCCTGCCGTAACTCTACGTCCAGCGATAGGGCCTGCCCGGCGGCCAGCCTAAGCTGGCGCCCCAAGTCGTTGAGCCCCAGTGTCCGTGCCCCCGTAGTCCCCCCCCCCCCCCGCGCAGACCGGACGCTTTCAAGGCAACGCTTTCACGGCCAATCGTCAACGCGCAAGTGCAGGCGCGTTGACGATTGGGCTTCGCCTGACTCATCCTGTCCATGATCGCGTCCCGGAGTCCCATGCGCGGCGCAGCCCTGGCCAGCAATCAGGCGGTCCAAGGATGAAGTGCAGCGTGCAAGACGAGAACGGGCTGCGCGGCACAACAAAGGAGACGACACTGGTAGAAAACGGCATGTTTGCGATGCCAACTGCGATACCATTTTGACACAAAATGATGCCGTCGCAGTGATTGTGATGGCATAAAAGGTGGCTGTGATGGCATCAATTTGTGTCAAAATGGCATCGCAAGCATGCTGTTTTCTACTAGTGCGAGCGGTCGGCCTTGCCAGCCCAGGGACACACACAATCCTCCAAGGAGGGTCTTGGGGCAGATGCCAGTGGGGATCGACAGAAAAAACGCGCCAACCCACACAAACGCTCCCACACAACCCATGTCGCTCTAAAGGCTACAAACTGAATTGGTGAACAGCGAAATTGCCTGACTTTGTGGAAGACACACACTTTCCATCACTCGCCCTCGCGTTCGGCCGTCTCGCGAAGGCAATGGCTTGAGGCATCGCATCTCCCGCCACTGTTGCGTGCTTCACCCCAAATTGAGACTCCGTTGCCCCTACATGGTCATGATGGCTCACCAAAGGGCCCATTTTTATTATTATAGTATTCATATTTATTATGTTTCATATTTATCTTGCGCGCCGTGTTTCGTCCTGAGAGACCAGGATGGCCGCGATCGCTGGCCAGGGCTGCGCAGCACATGGGACTCGGGGACGCAATCTTGAACGGGATGGGTCAAGCAAAACCCAAATCATAAATGCGCCTCCTTTGCGCATTGCCGAGAATGCACGCGGGCCACGCGACGCGCGTTGTTGGACTACAGGGGCGCGGGGACTGGGGCTCAACGACTTTGGATCCGTGGCATTAGGCGCCCACGTAGGCACACCAACTGGGCGGACCGTATCGTGGGATGTAGAGATACGGCAGGTGGAGCTTCGCAGGCCACATTTAACGGGACGCGGTGGCAGCCCGGGTTTTTATCGTCAATCGGACCTGCTTTTTGAAGTGAACCTCTAAGTCATGCCATTTCGCGCTGTTGGGGACACCGCAGGGTGGCATAGTCAACGAACACAAAACGGGATGTTTCGGTGCCACTATGAAGCAATTGACTGTGTGGTGTCTGCTCATAATGTCATTGTAGATTGACCAATTAGCCTACTGTCTCAGAAATGTTTGAGCACAAAATAGAATTAAATTTAAGCATTATCAAAAGTTCTAATACAAATATAATATGTCTAGTAGGTTTTCTAGGGTCACAGTTAACATATGCAATTTAATATGGGACAGAGGAAGTAGTTAAATGATCCATTGAAAGTGAGTTCAAATTGCTTGTTGTAGTTGATCAGTATCGACGCTTCTTACAATCAGCATGCGTCTCAACCTCCTGCATGGTTTCAACCTACGGTTGAGGCGAATATACTCGTGCCAAATGGGCGCCGTATTTCGCAATTGGTGCTCAGTGCTTTGGGATCGGCATTCGGTGCTCAGTGTGTAGTAATTACTTCTATGTGCCCATTTTCCCAGACGTAGTGCTGCTGTAAGTAAAAATTCGATGATATCACACCTGCATATTGCAAGTGCACTAGCTGCACAATTGCAGATGAAAAAAGGCCGAAGGCAAGAATACCGCCAGCGGTTCCAGTCTCTGCAATGTCAAACCGCACACGTGGGCTAAATTCTGACGGTATAACTCGGCTCACGCCGCCTCCAGGGATTTTGCCAGTTGCTTGCAGTCCAATGGGTCATTTTTTGCCCATAAACATTGCCTGGTGTTGATGTTAGTGTGGTAAAAAATAGGAATACGTAGCAAACGTGCCTTCAGTGACCCAAAGCATCACAACTTGTCCAACTTTGCCTCTTCAGCAACACAATGCAGTGAAGCGCGCTCAGCGGACTGCGATTCACCTTGTACTTGCAGTCCTCACCTCCAGATAAGATGAGCATGTTCAAGGGGCTCCAATCCACCTGTGCAAAAGGTGTTTTTGTGAGCCAGTCAGCACATTTCCCAAATACATCAATGAATGGACAAATCAATAAATCCATCAGTACATCAAAGAAACCTTCAGTCAATCCATCCATCAGTAAATTCAAGAACTGCTGCATAACAAAGCACAGAGATAGCAGGAAGCTCCCTGCAATCAACCAACCGGAAAAAAATCAATTCATTGTCCATCAAGCGGGCCATATTTTATCAAGGAGTCAAATCATCGCAAAATAGTCGACAATCATCGCCACAATGAAAACGAACAAAACAAGGCAAGGAGGCAGCTTCAGTCAACCAGAGGATCCATGAATGAATCAATCAACCAGCCAAACGATGGTGAGATAAAACAGTAATGTAAATTGTAAACTGCAAGTGCCTTGTATTTTGCTAGTGCGGTCTTTGTTACTAATGGTTGTGCAAATTTCACAAGGACTACGGATAATCAACCAATCAGCTCAGACAATCTGCGAATCAGGTTCATGAGAATTAATTGAGAATTGACACATGAAATAGCGGATTCACTTTATCCGCTATTAAATTTGTCAAATTATGAATTTGATAGTCAATTACTACATTAAAAATATCAAATAACACGCTAGCCACTCGATATATGCACATTCGTAGACCCCCACTCCACCTGCAGCACCACCCCCTTGTGCGCCCGCCATTGCAACTGCTGCGTGCTCGAGTGCAGGCTCTTGGTAGTGAGGTCGTACCCGCACGCGAACAGCAGCACGTCGGAATCCGGGCCCCAAGCCACTGAGTAGACGGGCCCGCCGGCGTTGACCAGCGTCGATCTCAGCATGCCATTTCTCGACCAAGTCTTCACGGAGCCGTCCTCGCCGGCGGTGGCCAGCGCCGATCCTGCGGCATTCGTGGGAACAGGCGGCTGCAGCTGTGGATTTAAAAAGCAAACGAAATGCACAACGTAATTTCCGTTTTTTAATTAGTGTTTTGTTTGAAATACCCATTTTGCAACTTGAAACGCATGGCTTTGTGCACTTCAATATTGCACTGGTTTTTCATCTTGATGGAATTTAGCTTTTCAAAGGTACCTGCAACGAACTTGCACTGAACCATGGACCTTACAAATACAGAAGCTCTGACTCCAGAGCTCTTAACACATTAGCTTGTACTATCCATGCATCTGTGTGTTTATTTGCATTTTATTTTCAAGCAAAATGGAGCAAAATATTTCCTTGTTTTCAACTTTTGCTCTTCCACCTTATCGACGATGATACATACTGCTCTTCTACCGGTTTGTGGCATTCCACTCTGGATCCAATCATTCTGCACGGTATTGAGCAACGCAATTTGGTGCCTCAGACCCAACGCAACTACTGAAGATCCTGCAGCGTTAACAAGGAATCAACATTAATATCTATTGGGATCAAAATCTAGCGAATGGACACATTGATTGATACCTTAATATCCAGTGATACTAAATTACAAAAACCATGTGCTAAATATTTCTAATGAGTTTTGGCTAAAGGCTAGTAACGTTTGTGTTGCTTTACCGTCGCCATTCGCTTGATGTTTTGATATCCGGTGACAAAGTATACCAATTTGTGTAATTAGTATCCCTGGATGCTGTGGTTTAAGCCATATGTAAGTTTGCAATTCAGCTAAGAAAGAAGACAATGAGTCTTTCCAACTCCTCTGGTACGATTTCGGGTCCTCGCCGCGTGAAAATGTATAAATAATGAATTTGGGATAAGGGCAACGAAACATACGTGTTCTTTTCACCTTCATAATTCCACCGCACAGACGTGACGGCTCCCCCGTGCGCCTCTGTCGACTTTTCTATGCGGCCGCGTCCGCTCACGATCTTGAAGGTCCCTGTCGCGCCACAGCCCCCGCGGTGAAACGAATGATTTCCCTGACCAAAATTGAATGAGCGCTTTAAAACAAGTATCAGGAACTGTGTTGAAGATTTAATAATCAGTGTTTCACAATTTATTGACTATTATTCATCATTGGCGAGTTATTTTTAGGTGATTAAGTCGTCGAAATGAAGCCGAATATCGAGCACAGCCTCGAAATCGGCAACGCGAGGTCTCGATATTCAAGCCTTCCCATGGTGAAGCAAATTCGGTTAGTGATAATTTCCCTTGGGATATTCCAGGGTTCTCTGAAGGCGCTCGTTCAATTACTGTGACGATTGTTTTAATGGAACCACAGCCTGCAGCATCAGTATGAAGGTAAACGCTGCATCGACACCAGATTCGGAAAACAGTGGTCTCGAAATTCTACGGACTAGATGCGGCCATTCAATGGCAATAACTGTGATGTGTTACACCATTATGTTGCATGCTGTTTGCACTATGCAACGTACAATACCGCTCCAAGCAATTAGACGACTGATGAAACCCGCACAAACTCAGTTAGCAAGTTCTTCCTACTGCGTCATGGGTCTGAAAGTGTGTGAATATTGTCGGAACCGATTGTTGGCCGTTACCAGTACGTTGTGAAAGAGAGTGGCTCAGGTCAATATCTCCACCAGCAATTCTGCCGGGCAAATACTATTTCTTAAAACGGGCTCCAGACATAGGCGGAGCACGTTGCGCCACTGGCAGTACTTTAGCCGCCCTCTCACCATCCGTGCACGCCACCGCGAAGACCTCCCCGCCCCCTGCGTGTTGGCCTTTTGCGCTGACCGGACACCAGTGCACATCTGAGATGTGCGACTCCAGAGAGCACACCTGAGTGCGGTGAAGTATTTCTGCATGTTTTTTATGCATTTCGGCCCAAATCGCTGCTGTGCAAGCCAACGATACCGTAGAGTGCCATCAATTGATCAAAATTTTATCAAGTTTGATCGATTTCATTATCATATCAGTCAAAGTAATGAAAAATTAGGCAATGAAATGAATCAAACCATTTGATCAAATTAATGACAGAACATCAGTTATTATTGTCTGGATTTCCCTTTTCCACGATTTAGTTTTGGCTGCGGTTTAACAGTCTGTTAATTGGCATTTAACAACCGAATAGCAGGCTTCAAAAATAGAGCAAGAAATTATTTATGACGAAGCCTGATGTGCTGAATTAAGACCAAATATACTCCTTATAGGTTCACATGACACAGAGCCCGCATTCGCCTTTTTGACCACAGCGTTAAGCCTATTGATTGATATATTTACACGACCGATTCGGATTTTTTAAGCTCGGTCTGCAAGCCAGCCTCGTCGCCCTCTCAAGCAAATATTGATATTAATTAAGCTCAACAAAATATTCCGAAATCACCCCACCTTGGCCTCCGGCTGCCTCTGGCAGTTCCACTGGTGGATGGTTCCGTCATCGCCTGATGTCAGCAGCTCGTTGCGCTGACTCCAGCCGGCGGCGCTGACCAAGTCAACGTGCACGGGCGCCGGGTGCACGCTGACGTCCAGGCGCATGGCCTGGCAAGCAGGCGGGCCCTGGGCCCAGGGGCGGGGGCTTGGGGTTTCTGGCAACCGCCAATGACAGAAACTGGTGTCTGGACTGTGAATGGAGCGAGACGCTTTTATGCGCCATAAAAAACTGGCGTGTTTTTTAGTCGATTACTGTTAGTTGCTGATAAATGGAAAATTAGCATTTGCATACAAACATGGTGGCTGGCGAGGGCACGGGGACTCTATACCGCGCCACTGACAGCAACTCATGTCTGGACTAGTCCTGAGTACTCAGAACAGGGGTACTCGCTTTGCGCACCGTCTTAACGTGTCACGTTTTCTACCCGGTTGTCGTTAATTATTGATTGGTTGTTCTGGGGCGGCGCGCAGGGAGCTCTTCTGCCCGCGCGTGAAAGTGACAGGTGCCTGGGCGGGGAAGAAAAGCTAGGAACCGCTTTTGTGTGTTGCCATCCCATGGCGCGTGTCTAAATCCATTGCCGCACGCTGTTGAGATGACTGTGGTCGTCTGTTGGTTGAATCATTGCCTTTGGTTGTTGTTTGGAAGTTTAGATATTTTGGTCGTTTCTGTTCTTCGGGATTGAAGAGCATTGGGGTCGAAGAGGAGCGGCAGCCAAGCAGAGCTGCTGAGAGACGGCGGCGGGCAAACTTTCTTTAGCTGTTTGGGAGCATGAAAGAAGCTTGTCACCGTGCAATTTGCGCGGGAGGTGTTTCATGCATGGTCCCATGCGACATGTTGTGTCTGCCAACGAAGACATCCAGTGACCACGAATGGCCATTACTGGCAGCAAATTTGGTCACAACAGTGGCTGGCCATCGTCGCAAATGTTAGTCTCAGTCCACAGCAAATTCGACTTTTTCGGTTTTTCCACATTCAAAATTCTGCAGCATCGTCAACACTGGCGGTGCCCACCATGGTGGGCACTGGCCAGTGGAAAACATAGTCGCAATATGATCAGCAATCCAGCAGCAATACAGCAACAAGAAGCGCATTAGCAACAATGCCAATGCCAGAAACATCTTCCTGTGTTGGGCAGCACAGCTGCGTCAAATTCTTGCTGCATTCTACTTCATTGAAATGATGTCAGGCCAGAATCGGAAGAAGATTTTCCGTGAACCAATGTAGCGCCACGCTGCATCAGTTGAAGTGCACACGTCAACATTACATGCATTCATTAAGCATATTAACAAACAAGCTCACATTGCCAATATTTATCAAACCCATTTTGAGGATCCTGCGATGGCGCAGATTGATGAAACCCGTCTACGGATACGAACGACTTCCGTCATCACTACAGCTAATCTCCTTGTAGGCTTCCTGTCTACAATTCAGTTCTGGAGTTCATTTTCTGGAGCAGCAACGGGACCAACCACGTCAAGCCTTTCCGCAACTCTCAAGACGATTGTGTCCAATATGCCAATCGCCCCCACAGGTGCGATACATGTTCTATTTCATTAGGGTGCCCACGATAATATACCATATCGTATACATGCGTCGCAGCCAAACGAAGCTTTGCAGACATGGTATTGCAAAACCACTTTCTCTGCTTGTGTCCCATCTCGCCAATTGGCGAGAACACATCTTTCACTGTGTTATCGGCACTAAACAACTTCTAGCAAAGCAGGGTTCATGCTTTGTGTGGATTCTTTTTGTCTTTGCAGAATCCTGCAGTTCTGCGGCGTTCTGGGAACAAATTGTGTTCTATACATTGGATTCGGTAAATCATGGACACCGCTTTGCTTGGGCAAAACAGGAAATTGGTGACTGCGTCACTGCCGTGCTGCGTACAATTTCAGAATGACGATGATATAGAATAGATCGAAATTATGCGAAGTGGCTTTTTTCCTTCATGTTAGTTTGTTGATAACTGTTCATAGACGGATCATTGAATGTTGACCTGCCGGCAGGAGGACGTTGCTGATGGAAATTTCACAGGAGCAGCTTCCGCCTGACCAGCTGTGTGGACTGCATTGAGCATTGCCACATTTTGTACAGCACTGGATTCGTGAATGCCGAATCTCATGTGACCCCCAATCTACACAATATAATGTTGCCCCCGTGTGCTCCTCTTTGGTTGTGCATTCAGCGCAACGTACAAAGCGTTCCCCAGTTCCTGTACAATCATGGCGCTGCATTGCGCTGTAATATCGTACAATGACTGTACAGTACATTCGGTAACGCACCAGGTTGCTGACCTGCAACCTCAAATACTTGGAAGTACAATGTGACATATTGGAATCCACAAAGAAAACGCACGCGGGCCAAACTTCGCTTGTGCATTTACACCCATAATCTGCAGCATGCACCATGCAGCAGGGTTGCCGCCACGGCCTTCACCAGCACAATCCCAACGTTTACAAAAATTGCCCAAATCTGCAATCTAAAGATCCCCTCGCGCTAATTTACACACCGTCTTTCTGACACACGCAATTCCCAAAGACGGGCCGCCACACCACAACGGCAACAAACACAAAGAACACCCCCGTTCCCCGTTATTCGCCGTTCCCATTTTGAACAGGAACTACAACATCAAACCCTCCCAGCATCTGGGAATGAAATAAAAAAAGGTCACCAAATGGGAAACGGTTCATTCCTCAAATTTCAAATGTTTCGAATCTTGGCGCCAGCCGCGCTCTGCCTCACAAGACCAGGTCTCACAACTCCGCTCTCGAGCAGATGGGCCAGCAGCCAAAGCGCCGTCAATTGCTGCGCAACCAACACTGCCCTGAACTCAGAGTTTCTGAGACGTTTCGGAGCCAGAAAAGGAGATCAACAGTTCGCGGAGGCTGCCAAGCAGCAGGTTCAGAATTGAGCTTGGCACTTGAGCAACACTACTTTCCAGCGAGCGCAAACCTATGAATGGGCGCACAGTGTGGCCACAGGTACCCCCCAATCTTTACGCTCCTACATACAGTATTCCCGCTTCCTACTTCGCCAACACCCCAAAATGCAGGACTGGGTGTCCTGTTATCCCGCCACCACATCAGGTCGGCCTTCCAGTGGCCAACGTTGATGAAAAGAACACATGCATGAACTGCTCAATCGGCCAAAAGGTAAGCACACCTGCTCCATGGCCAACAGCTGAGCAGTTGAATCCCAACTAGAGGGCACCGGGCCCGATGCTCTGCATCCCTTGCTGCACCAACTCTTCATTGCCATCGTGGTGCCAGCAAACAGCACAAACACAGGGCTCATCTAGACAAGTCTGCACTTGTAGTAGTGTTTCAGCAACAACAGCTGTGATGCACCTGCCCAGAAGCTTGTTCAATGCTGGTTGACAATGTCGGTCTGGCCACACAAAGCGCCTGCCACCCCATGTGCTTGTGAGACGTGCTCCCCATCAATGTATTGCCCATGGCCGCTGCCAAGATGCAGCCTCAGCAGTTGTCGTCAGCTTCGATCCAGCTTTCTGCCACAGGGTGTCCCCTTCACCCCCAGGCCCGAACATCGTCTCAGAACTCAGCTTAGAGCACCCATGGCCACTGCCCATGCAAACACTGACTCTGCATTCTGGTTCCTTAAGTTCTTCAAAGCAATCCGCTGTCTCTTGTACCCTTCGATTGTCAAACAGCAATTGTGCCAGCCCGTGAGGACAGGAATTCAAAAACTGGCCACTGAAACATCTCAATTCTTAATCTGAATCAGAGCCTGCGCATCTGCAGGCTGCAGAGAGTCCAACCTTCAACTTGTCATTACAGCCTTGAGGCTCGTGCCCTGCCACCTCACAAACTCATAAGGTCCATAAGGCTCGGCATTCGACTGTCCATGAACTCACCCGCCAGCCCTTCAGCCTGAATTCCAAATCACCCACGCCCACTTGTGCTTGTGCCTTGTGTACGATTCAAACTTGGCCTCTTCCAGTCTTGCCATCCCTACTCCATTTCCACTGAGTCCATTAGCTCGTCGATGCTCAGGTTGGTGCCCAGCTCAGCGATCTCAGCCTTCTTGATGACCGCCTCCAGCTCTGCCACAGAAGGTACCCCCTCCTCCGCTGGCAGCTCAGGCTCGGATGCCGGGGCTGAGCCCATTCCGTCCTTGAACCATGCCCTCTCCTTGATCTTCGCGATCGTGTCCCGCTCCGCCGAAGCTTTGAAGATGCCCATGACCAGTTCAACTGCGCCCGGGCTCATCAACCGTGGGGGGTCGAGTTTCATGGCGGCAATCCTCTTGAGAAGCGCCTCCATGCAGCCATTCGATTTCTCCGTGCCGCAGGGAAACCTGCCCTCTATCATCACGTAGAGGGCCACGCCGGCGGACCAGATGTCGGCCATCTTCGCATTGTAGATGCGCTGCCCGGCGTTTGGGTTAGGGTCCCGCTTGGAGGGATCCACAACTTCTGGGGCGACATAGGAGGACGTGCCCACAAGGCTAATGGCGTTGGAGTCGCTGTCACCCTTCGCGTAGCCGAAGTCGCATAGCTTGAGCACGGGGGTGGAGACGCCCCCGGCGTACTGCGTCTTGAGGATGGAGTTTTCCAGCTTGATATCCCTGCATACGGAGACAAGCCAACGGCTTCGTTAGTCCAGCTGTTTCAAAGGGAGCACATGAAGTGTATTCTGAAATATGCTGAAGTGTGCCTGAATAACTGCACACTTGCGTGCACTGACAGCCATTTCTAAGTGTGCCCAAAGATGCATGCAATACTGGAAGTATTCAAAAGCCCCAAGGGCTGTGAGGCATCTCAGGAGTGCCTGAACAGGGTCACAGTTCGCTTGTCAACGAGTACATAGTAAACATCTGAACACAGGCATATACGAATGCACAACTCTGTCCACAAAGCACAGCTAGCGAATCCACACTGAACCGGAGGCCAAAACCCCTTTTTAAACCAAATACGGAGAGCACAGCTTTGTTCATTCGAACTGGTGAGCCCAAAAGGCTGGAATCAGACTTGCTTCTGGTCCCTTGTTGCGCGCGGAGATTTTCGGGTCTCTGGCAGCGGATAACACGTGCAAAAGATACCCCCTTCTCGATGAGAACATGGCCTCCCAACAGCGCCTGTGGTCTCTGGACACGCACAGGAGAGGTATTCTGGCTGCAGGGAGGACGTGCTACAGGGACCAGAGAACTCATAATCACAAACAAGTTTGCAAGTGACGTGCTGCGCGCACTGAAGTCACCAGTTGTCGCATAGAAGTGCTAATCACGTGCCAGGCTTGTCTCTCATCGGTTGAAACGAACAAAGCTACTGCCGAAGCGGCTTGGGTGCCCCACAGACGCCACCGGGACAGACTGACCCAGGGCGCAGACAGCTGGGTCAGCGCGACTGACCCAGGGATTTGATTCCCCGCCTCAACGCGGCGCAGGTGAGCATCCATGATCCCCCCCAAACGGCCCAGGCGCCTCACGGCAACCCGCAATTGTCCCGCTGCTCCCAAAATGGGTTCCAAACTTTGGATTTCCCCACGGCACGACCACTCCCCACCCCCCCAATCCCTGCCTTCCCATCCGCTTCCCCATGCGCAAAAAGGTCAAAGAAAAAAAGTACAAAAGCAGCCGCCCACCTGTTGGCCACGCCCATCGAGTGGCAGTACTCCAGCCCCTCAATCATCTGCCTGAAGAACCCTCGCGCCTCCTCCTCCGCCAGCCGCCCACCCCGGTTGCACACATGCTGCCACAAATTCATCTCCCCCAGCTCTTGCACGATGACCAGGTAGGTCGGCGTCAGGAACGCGTCGTAGAACCTCACCACGTTGCGGTGCACCAGCGAGTGGTGGTGCAGAATCTCCCTTTTCACGTGCTTGGTCACTTTGGCACCTCGCTCGATGAATTTCACGGCCACATTGCGCGAAGCCACCCTGTCCAGCGCCACCTGCACATTGGGCTTGTCGGGATTCGCCCAGCGAATCTTTTCATACCGCGGGTGCCCCGCGAGCGGATCGTCCACGTCGCTGAGCACCGGCGCGCTCGAGGGCGGCGCCGGCCAGCCGGCCATGGGCCCGCCCGGATTGCCGCCGGTCGTGACCGCTCTACAGAACGAGGCGAAATCAGTGTCTGGCGCCTGGGAGCCGTCGCCCCAGATGGTGTCCCCGGCCATGGGAATCTGCGAATGGCCTGGGTTTGACGCTGGTGGCCGCTGTCGAGAATGGCGAAAGATTTGGGGGGGGGGGTCGGACTGGGCGCGGGTTAAATGGGGGGCAACGGCTGCGCGGGAGGTGCCATGCAGATGACAGTTCGCTGCGGGGATGTTGGCGGTGATGAGCGTCACGCCATGGGACACCGTGCGCGTTCACGCCGGGGGTCTGCTTCCCTGCTGGTTCTGAGCCGGCGGGGGCGCCTATGCCGTCACGTGGCGTGACCGGCGGGTCGATTGATGAGGGTCCATTGGCGAAGTTGATTGGCGAATGTTGCTTTTGGCAATTATGTAACGCATGATCTCTTAGCGTCACAGGCATTGTGCCCCTCACCCCTGCGTCAAACTGACGCTCAGCGTACCAAAATCGACGCAGCACCTTTCCCGATTGAGCAACTGCACCTGCCACAGTGGCGGCGGGCATGGCTGGAGGACGCGTGTGATTGATGGAGTCCATTGGTGTGGTCGATTCGCGATGATTGCCCTGATTGGACAGCAAACACAAATTTGTGTGGCTTGTGGCTGCTGGGCTTGCGGTGATGGCGGCCAGATTGGCTGGAGGACGCTTGTGATTAACCAAGCCCATTGGTGGACTCGATGTGCTGTAGCTGCAGTTTGTGCGGCTGGGCTGGCTGGCACAATGGTTGAGGAGCACTTGTGGTTAATGAAGTCCAATGGTGAACTCGGCATGCAGCAGCTACCATGTGTAGAGCTGTGCTGTCTATGATAGTGGCCAGATTGTTTGAAGGACAATTGCAAACAATGAAGTCTATTGGTGAGGTTGATCTGCGATCGTGATATATGTTGTGATATCATGATAAAATGATATCATGTTGTTTGTGCAACAATAGTGGTCATTACGGCCGCCGACATGGTTGAAGGGAAACTGCGGGACAATCGACATGCACAAGCATAAAGCATAAGTCCACCGAACCGGCTTCCCAGCTGATCCACTTTAGTTCTTTGATGCTGCAAGCAAGTCCTTGTACCAACATTGCCCACTTTCCTATTATTAGGGGCAACCGGGTACGCCACCAATACCACCATGTGAGCAAGGGTTCTCCATTGCATTCTAGGACTCCCGGCAATCCCGCATGTGGGCCTTGTGAACCCAAGGCGAACCAAGCCAAATACCGTGAAATACCATAGATAATACTATAAATACCGTAGAGCACCAGAAACCACATATTACAAAGGACAGGATGCAGGGTGTTGAATAGTTTAGGGCACTTTAGATAAAGCCCATATAAAATTGAACATGGCCACCACCTCAGAGCGCAGGATGTATGTCAGATAGCGTGGGGTGTGTGCATCTTCCATATTTGAAGATTCTCGTTCATTGTCAAAGATGGAGCAATGTAGTGCAGAAAGTTGCAAAATACTATGGTGGTGCCTTCTATTTTTGCTGTGATTGACGTTTGTTTTTAAGTGCTTTGCAGTGATTTAAATCGGCTTGGTAATGATTGTGGCAACATGGGGGCGTTACTGACTCATGGGGGGATAGTATCCTCTATGATCAATGGTACCCGGTTTTGGGAAAAAAAACCTCTTTGAATGACGAAGTCAGCTACGCCAATAAGCTGGCAGATGTAGTTTCCGTAACACTTTTGCGTTTTGGGATCTCCATGAAGATTGAACCCCTGAGAAAGTTTATCATAACCATAATGGCACAAGTCGGAACTTTGTTTACTACAAATCAGCAAAAGTATGGGCTTCTTATAAGCCCTTGTTGATGTAGTGATAATTATGAAGTGTTATAGTGTGTTGACCCAATCGCCACGGTTTCTCTGTCGCCTGGTGGCCCGCACATGCATGGCACAGACACCTCCGCCTTGTGGAAGGCAGGCGCAATTGGGGGGCGCACTCGTTTATGTTCGGTTATCGCAGTCCAAAAATGCGGCGTGGGTGGGCCGGCTGTTTGGGAATGGTGGTGTGCATGGGTTGTTGCTCCCCAAGCCATGCGGCCTATGCGGAGTGTGGGCGGTGGGCCAAGAAAGGTAACATTAGGGTGCACCTCCAACATGTGTCGGACCAAGCCTTCCCTATGTGCAGATTGTCCACCTCCACTGGCGTTGGCCCGACTCGTGGCGTTGGTCGGGGTAAGTTTCATAGAGGTGGCCCAGTAAGCTGATGTCTTGATGCTCCGTTTACTTTGAATAAGATGTCGTCCGCCTTTAGCATGCGACTCATTGCTTGCTAGAGATTTTGGGGGTTGGCTCTCTTCACGTTGAGTCTTACTACCAGTTTCAACCCCTGCTTGTATCTGTTGCGCGGTAGTGCGCAACAGGGGGTGAGAGAGAGCTACCGGTGCGGGCGCTCGAAGGCCATTAAGCCGGGACCCAGCACCGGACCCCAAGTACTACGTACTTGGGGCCACACCCGAGCGCCGGTACCTGGGGGTACCCCAGGTACCGGTGGCCACCGCCCTAGTGCCGGTTTAAGCACTCTAACCCCTACACTATCGTAACCGTAGCCCTCTTGGGCCGGTTACTGTAGGGGGTTGTCGATACCCCCGGGTACCGGTTAGTGCGGTACATCACCCTCCCCCCCCCCTGAGTCGTGACCCGCGACGATTGGATGTCCGAGAAAGGCAGGACTGGGCAATCTGAGGCGAGAAGCGGGAGGTACTGTGAGCGGGGTGTGTGTGTGTGTGTGGGAAGGGGCGCCAGTAGCCCGCCGAAGGGGCGGGGGGCGAAGAGAGTGCGGGGGCGATGAACACCAGAGATAGCGCGGGAAGGAGCCGCGAGGGAAACAGCGTGGTGTGCAACGGTGAAAAGGCATTGGGCAACAGTGATGTGCCGAACCCAAGGAGGTGGGTAACAAGACCGCGCAGGGAAAGGCTGTGCGTAGGGGCCAGAGGGGTTCACAGTATAGGGGAACCCCGAATAGCATCGACTACGAGGAGCCAGGAAGATGGCGTAGCCGGGTCCCGGGAAGGGCGGGAGCGGGAGAGGCACACACACATAGGGGAGCACAGTCGAAACTGCCCCCCCCCCAAAATGGGCAAGAGGCATAACAAGGAGCAAGGAACAAGGGAGGGGGTGGCATGTCCAGCACAGCCCCCCTCCGAAAATCCGTGGAGAACCCTGCATCGCCTACCTCGAAACCCGTACCAAGCAATAAGAGACAATGCGGGCACCCTATAGGGGTCGCAACAATCCCCAATGCGCGCCGCAACCCCTGGACGGCCAGGAAGGGAAGGGCAATAGAAAGAGAAAGGGGAGAAAGGACCCTCAGGCATACCCAGAAGGCCGGGTGGGGATCAAGGATCCCGCTGCTCCAGCCAAATCAGGAGAGTGACCCATCGAGCATCCCGCAAGCACCCCCGCCTGAGGAACAGCGGGGAAGGGGGGAGCAGGCTCATCCCGCCGGAGACGAGGGCTGCAAAACAAGACACAAAACGTAGGGCTCAAGAGGAGCATGGGAACCAGCCAAGGGCTAGCTCGAAGATGGCGGAGGGCGCCGAAGCGGCGGCTGAAAAGCCTCCTTAGGCGAACGAATCAGCGAAGGGTCCTGCTGAGCCTGGAGTGCGAAGCGCTGCAACGCTTCCTCACAGTGGGTGAGGTTGCGGAGGGGTTCCCAGGAATTGTGACCCATATCATAGCCCTTCCATTTAACCAAGTAGTAGGGCTGGCTGGTTCGGCCACGCCGGACGATGGTCTTTTGGAGGAGGGCCTCAACCTCATACTCGAGCTCCTCATCCAAAAGCACCGGGGGAGGGGGAGGAGGCAACACCGAATGGCCCTGGATGTACCGGCGAAGCAAGGAAACATGGAAGACCGGGTGCAGCCGGCGCAGGGCGACAGGCAGATCCAGCCGGAAAGCGACGGGATTGATGCGCGTCTGAATCCGGAATGGACCCAGCCACTTGGGCAAGAGCTTCTTGGTCCCGGGGTGTTTCAAGTGGAGGTTCTGGGTGGACAGAAGCACCAGATCCCCCACTTGAAATGACTCTGCCTTCCGTCGAAGATCGGCCCAGTGCTTCATGCACTGTTGGGCATTCTGTAAACAGTGCTTGGCGCGGCGTAACGCGGATTCCCGATCCTGGAGGAAGGTAGGCACACCGGGGATCTGAGGCAAGTGGGCTTGAGCCCAAGCTTTGGCGGGCCAACGCTGGAGGCCGCGGCCATTGCTGCGAAGGGGCAGCGAGGTGCGCTGTTTGAGAGGCAGCGACTGAGAGAAAGGGGTCTGAGGGTGACGCCCATAGTTGAGAAAGAATGGGGAGTAACCGGTACTCTCTTGTTTCGCATTGTTGATGGCGAACTCAGCGCAAGAGAGGAGGCGATCCCAATCGGTATGGGCAGCCCCAATATACCGCCGTAGCATGTCTTCCAGTGTGCGGTTCGTGCGCTCCGTCTGGCCAGCAGTCTGGGGGTGGTAGGCAGAGGAGAGGTGGGATTGCACGCCAAGGCGAGCCAATAAAGCCTGCCAGAAGGCCGAAGTAAATTGGGGGCCACGATCCGAGATGATGGACTCGGGAATCCCATGGTAACGATGGACACGTTCCATGAAGATGTCGGCCAGGCCAGCGGCATCAATCGCGCTGTGGGTGGGCTCGATGTGGACCATTTTGGTCAGTCGATCCACAAAAACGACGATGGCGTCGTAGTGAGGGAAAGACGTGGTCCGAGGGAGCTGAACGATCAAGTCCATGGAAACACAGGCCCACTCGTGATCCGGAATGGGGAGAGGCTGCAATTCCCCTGTGGAGGGACCGGCCCGAGGCTTGGAGACCTGGCAGGTATGACATCCTGCCACGAACGCCGCAATGTCTCTACGGCTGTGGGGCCAGTAATAATAACGGTGAATAAAGTCGACCGTCTTCGTCTCCCCGAAGTGACCGGCATAGGAGGAACAGTGAC